ATTTCTGGACCTTCTACTGTGATAAGCCTCCCAGATGATATATGCATATTTGAATTCTATAAATGTTTAAGTCCCTTCAGAATTGTTTTGGTCCAAGAGCAAAACTCCAGCACAGCAGTCTTGTGCCTCTGAATTCTGGACCTAGCTAGTCCTGTAGCGCATGCAAAAGGAAATGCACCTTGCAGCCATGGCAGCTGGCAGGAGCCATGTTCAGTGAAAGTAATTTAATTAGGGTTGATCATGACTCCAGATGATGGTGATTTGATAAGGAATAATTTAGTACTTAACAGCCTTTTACATGCACCAACTCCATGTGGGAAGGTAAAGCAAATTGCACAAAATGAATGTGCTGCATTTGCTTGTGCCTGTGCCAGTGAGCTGGAAAACTGCCTATTAGCAGCCGATCAGGCTCTCCAGCCTGTGATGAAATACCCCAGCATTTCTCCACATAGGACTGTGACATTGTCTCTGGTCTCCCCCTGCTTTAAAACAACAAGGGGAAATAGTTTTTCAAAACAGATTAACTGTAGGGAAGGATGATGAAGCAGCAAAGCCAGGAATGGACGAGGGACCAATGTGCCATTTTGTGTTGGGGTTCTGGGATGACATCATTGAAAAATCAAGCACATCTGTGTTTATGTTTTTAGACACAGCTTTAAAAATCAAAATGGTGCCACTTTTGAAAATTATGTGGCTTTTAAAGGTCCAGCTCATAGAATTTTCTCTATCTGTGGTGTTGTGGCAATCTGCAAAATTTAGATGCAATGCAGGCCTTTAGTCTTAGGTAAGAGCACAGTAATCCCATTCTGAAAGAGCTAAGTTGAATGCTGGACACCCCCCTGCCCCAGCACACTTGGAAAGAAGTCATGATCTGTGCAGTGCTGCGTGAGCAGAGTTCCCCTTCTGCTGTTGAAATTCTCCTTGCTCTCTTTTCCTTCCTGTGTCCCAGCCCTCCAGAAAAGATCAAGGGACTGTGCTTGGACCTCTTGCTACAGCTGTTAATTTCAGCTGGGGACAGTCAGCATGGGATCTTACTCACTGGATCTCCTCCTCTTTTACTTATATATTTAGAATGGTTTTGTAGGTTGTATAACATTGCCTACTGGATAAAGGTCCTACCCCCAACCCCGGAGCAATACTATTGATGACATCCATGTAAAACCTGAAAAATTGCCTGTAGAGGTCGATTTGATAAAAGGTATACACATGGGGGCTTCAATGTGCCTTTTGGGTTTCTTGTACTGTTTAATATGAAATCTGAGCAAACATTCTTAGGATTGCTTTTTGTTGTTCATTTCTCACTCTTCCATTTAAAGTAAAACTTGCAGTGCGGCATGGCTGTTACAAAAGAATGAGTAAACCAAAAGGGTAGCTAAAGCTGATCAGCTACATTTGCAAATATAAAAACACTTTAAAAGGTCTCTGGGAATAAAAACATATTCAGCTGGTGCCAAATTAATACAGAATATGGTACCAAGCCAGTCTTTCCAGGGCGAATTTCACAAGCAGGGTACCACAACTAAAAAGGCCTTCTCCAGTTCCAACCTATCTCACTTTACCTTTGAAGACAGGGCATTCCTAAGAAGATTATCTCGGCATTGGATAGGTTCATGTGTGAGTGTGTGGTCCTTCAGAATGCAAACCTATGTGTCTTTAGGCCAATAGATAAATAAATCCTACAATAGCTGTAGGACATGCATAGAATTGCACCCTTAGATATCTAAGTCAAAAACCGTATCAGTCACATAAGACTTTGAGGGTTTTTTAATTGTGCTCTGAAATGGACTGAATGTTTTATACATTCTATCCTACTGAATGCAGGAAAATATGGAGGAATTCATAATTCATCATTTTATCCCATTTTTTTGGCTGAATTAATAGAACCATAGTTTCCAAATGGAGCATCATACTCCCTGCTGATGCTTCCTGGTAGTTCCATGTTTAGCAGTAGCATGGAAGGGAACTACTTTTTTACAACCCTAGTTTTGCAGAGATGTGTGAATTATACTAATCTATTGTGCAACTGCTCTTGGAATACCGTGAGCAATAGTCTGGTATAATTCACAAACAGTATAATGCAGTTGTGGTCAGTGTACCTGAATAGATGCAGGAAAAGGCAACCAAAATGTTCAAGAGACTATCAAGAGATGCTTTTCTTCCTTTCTCATAATATTAGAGTCTGGGTCTTTCCATGAAGCTTATTGGTCAGAGTTTCAGGACAAATGAAAGGCATTTCCCCACAGTTCATTGTTTAAACAAAAAAGTTTGCTGCAGGAGATATAATGATGACCACTGAATTAGATGACTTTTAAAGGAATTAGACAAAAGCATGGGCCATAATGGTATGTGCCACCTCTAGTATCTCTGTCTGTGTGTTACCTTCTGTATCAGCAGCCGCTTGCCTATCTATATTGGCTGTTGGGGAGCATGAGTGGAAGGCTGACATTTGCACTCATGTGCTACTTCTGTGTTTCCGACAAACAGCTGCTTGGTCACTGTGATAACAAAAATGTTGGACTAGGTGGAACATTGTTCTGAGCCAGCATGGCTCTTCGTATGGTTGCTTGTTCTTATGAATATCTGAAGGCCCCTTTTATACTACTGTCAGATGTACAGGTGTTGGCAGTGTAGCCTGCAAGCACATTAGCCAAAGCTGATGGGTTCCTTATTGCTACATTCAGCAAACAATTTGCAGGCTTCATTGGCACAGCACCTGCCATTGCAAGAAATGCCATTTGAAGGGGGTAGTTGACCAGTACCCTGCTTAGTTCTTTCCCCTGCTTCCTATTTTACCTGTAACATCTAAATGCTTTTTACCTAAATTCACTGTGGCCCATCAGTAACCAGCATTTTGGCTATTTGAACCATTGGCTGTGAATATTCAGTTAGCAATGAGGGTGACAACAGAGGACCCATCCCTGTTCCCCAGCACCCCCTTGCCCTGCAAATTCCCCTCCTATTCACCAGCAGTGAGCAGTCTCATATTTTAGTTACATTGCTCACTTCCTGGTAGTATGGATTGGCCATAGTGGGAATGGCGAACAGCAGCAGTGGCAAAGGATCCGGACATCTTGCCCAAGGGCCCTGCAAACTTTGGATCTAACATTGATTTAACTGTACAAGGAAGAATTGCTCTTAAGTTCTCCAGAATGCATGAGTCCTGAAAGTGTGTAGAAGGACAGGACTTTCTGGGCTGACCTCAGGGCCATCTTAACACATGGGCCTGATGGGCATTTGTCTATGGGCCCCATACTAATCTGTGTATGTTAATCCTTGGAAAATTGGAAAACTGCCAAAATTAACAGTAGTTGTAGTTGTCGTAGGGGCCCCAGTACACTGCTTTGCCCGGGGCCCATAATGCTGTTAAGACGGCCCTGGCTGACCTGTCCTTAAGGACGGTATGCATGCAGGCCTCATCTCTTCAGCTTCCTGGCTTCACTGTCTTGCTTTGGTAAAGCAACATCCTCAGTCATACAGAGGAAGCTGTCCCTATTCAAGCAAGCACAAGTAGAAGTCTCCTGCAGATTTTCCTATTCAGAATGACAAGGGCATGGATTTGGATGGGCGAATAGGTGGGGTACACTTTGGGACAGGACTCTCTTCTTGGTTTTAGCGCTCACACTTTCCAGTGAATGTGCAAAAAGAACTTCTGTTTCTGAAAATTTTACCAGTCTGTATTAATGTTCAATAAATAACTAAAACAGGCTTGTGATGCTATTGAAGGAAGCAGGGTGTTTAGGTTTTTGCACATAGAAACAGTCAGAAGAGGTCTCCTGGGCCATTTAGTCTGACCCCCAGCTCCAGCCGGCTCTGCTCATGACATGCCTACCATGAACACCATCGCTGATGGGGCTTCAACCACCTTCTGTGGAAACCCATTCCATACTCTAGGAGTCCTAACTATCAGGAAATACTTCCTGGCATCCACCCTAAATCTTGGTTCCCTGAGCTTTGCACAACCTGACCTGTGAGGAATAAGGTCTTTTAGCCCCTCGGCCCTCAATGTGTGTTTTTGATCAAAATTTTTCATCAAAACAAGCCTTTAGCAAAACAAATAGGTGGTGATAGTATGTCTTTTAAAATGAAACAGATAATTTAAATATATGCAAATTACCACAGGTGGTCCTGATACAGATAGAGAGAGAATCACAGTACCTAGGGCAAGCAAATGGGCTATTGCTTGTTTCCGTGCTGATGAACTGGAATCTTGGCCATGTCACTTTTTAAAGTGATGAAACCATTAGTAGCTCAAAGGATCTCTGGTGTCTCCAATTCTGTTGACACACAAAAACATTCCTGATCATTTTTTCCCCTCTGCTGCTTGTTTTGTAGCACTGCTTTTTTACTCCAGTGATGGAATGAATCATTCCATAGCTGAACCAAGAGCAGGGTTACTTGTCCCATGTAGAATGCAAGACTGGAAATATGATGAGCTACTTTGCTTATTTTAGGTATGGGGATTTAATAAAAGCACTAGATTTGCATATCATTTGTATGAATCCTGCAAGGTGCCAGAGTTGATGGCCATGTTGCTTTGATGAACCTGTTCTTTCCCTTCAATGTGCTATGCTTCTGATAGGAATCACTATGCATGTGTATAGGGGGTTTTGTCTCTGCAGAAGAGATATCTCAGGGTTTATTTCTTCTTGTTGCTGGCATTTTTTGTCCTGTTTTTACTAGGACCAGAAATGTGTTCCTTTAAAATGTACATTTCCTTATATTCACTCAAGAATCTGCAGATCACAAGAAGGTGTGTTGTGATGGCCAATTTAAACACGACACTAGGAAACCTAGAATTTTGCCAGTCTTTATCCTATTTCATGTGGTCAAGTCCATGTTTAAGTTCGGTTTCAGTGAGGTGCTAATTATGGCCACAGAATCCTGTGTCAGGTTTTGAATAAGTCTGAATCATGTGTTGCCTTATCCTTGAATTTTGCATCTAGTTTCAGTGCATGAACTTGATTAATTTTTGTTTGTTTGGGTTTTTTATATCTTTTCAGTGGCTTTTCATGGTCTCCCAGTGAAAATCAAGAAAGAACCCCACAGTCCATGCTCAGAACTCAGCTCGGCGTGTAGTCAAGAACAACCGTTCAAATTCAATTATGGGGAAAAGTGCCTGTACAATGTCAGGTCAGTGTATTTTGTGGTAGCATTTTCAGTGAGGACTGTAAAATACTAAAGACATGATTGAGATTGGCCATAAGTCTCTTTCCCTACCTATTCTCCCTTCCACAAGGCAGGTAAGACTCAGTCTAGGTATGTAGCAGAATAAGGTGAGAGACTCGGAGATAGTGGAGTGGGCTTCAGTAGCCTGCAGGTGGTAGAATCAAACGTTGTACTGTTCTCTCTTTAGAAAACTAGAATAATAGGGAAGCGAATGGATAGGTTCCAGGATCATGTGAGTAGAAGTCAGCTTGTGTGATGAGGCATTTTCCTCCATTTCTCCCTTCTTCTGCCTCCATGCCCCCACAAGACCTTCTGCACGTCTCTCAACCCTCTGGGGAAGATTTTAAGGGGCTGTAGAAGGGAAGCCAAACTGGCACCACCTGTTTTTGGGGACAAAAGCAATTTAAGGTTTAGATGTAATGCTGAAGTGGTATAAAACCACAGCAATGACAGAACCATAAGTAAATACCCCACACAGGTAAGTTGGCTTTTAGATGAATAGTGGAGAGAGATAGGAGAGTCTTGAGCTGATAGAGTAGATACACCAGCCTGCTCATAGAGGAATCAATTGTGTACCATTCCATCTTTAGCAAACTAGAATAGAAGGGAGTGAACTGAGCTAGAATCCTTCAGCCTTATGCTGTAGGCTTTTTAGGCAACAATAATGAAGGATACATCGGAACAGGCAAGCTTTCGATGGATGTGAACCCATTTAGCTGAACTGATATATATATATATTACACTATTTGACAAGTTCTAACATATTTTTGAAGTAATAACACACATTGGCAGTGTGAGCAACATGAATTTCCAAATGGTGGGTTGCCAGGAGGTAGGGGTGGTGTGTGTGTGTGTGTGTGTACTTCTAAAAAGCATTGTATACATTAAATGCATTAGGTTGAAAGAGGCAGCTGTGCAAGATGCAGGCCTGAGTAGCACATGAGATATCTTGACAGCTTTTACAAATTATGTGTGTGCATTCATAGGTGATTATAAAAACTATTTTTTATTAGGCTTTGAAGATACTATTATCTCTTCAGAAGCAAGTTGCTTCCCTTTGGGAATGAAGGGTAGAGAGCAAAATTTCTTAAATGGCTTGTAGGATAATTTTTAATTGGTGTGATAGCATTATGTGTTTTAATAGCTTTTCCTTTTGGAAGCTTTACTTTGTTCACATGATGCTTCAACATGTATTCCTTAGGAAGGATTATAATCAGTGGTTTATTTATATTCTGAAACCTTGTGCAAAGAAGTCACCAATTCTTTGCCCCACTGAAAGATAGCTGTCTTCTTGTAATATTAGCAAGAGCACAAAGATCATTTTTAGTATGTCATATCCTCCTTCCAAAAGTGGCAGACTGTATCTCTGAGAAATATACTGTCCCACATAAACTGTTTCCATGGTCTGCTTAATATCATTTTGAGGATATCCATGTCTGTTTCAGTATTTCAAAATGTCTTCACATTGAGCAGTTCCTACCATTGGTGGAACAGTTCTTCTGAAAAGTATCTGGGCTTCTTCAGTGTCTCTAGGAATGGATCTCATTTTTGCAAATGTTACCAAAGGTTCCTGTTGTTCAGCACAATCTGTTTTTTTAAAATACCTTCTTCTGCACTGATTCCTCTTAATATTGGGGCATAGATAGGGATGCTGTGAACTGACTTCATTTGCACATGCTGGATTCATACACCAACTAAAACAGAGCTGTCCTTTGGTTTTCATACTTCTCTGAATTTTAAAATATGGGTTCTTGACTCAGAACATGTACCACAATGTACAGAAAATTATTAACTTCTTGAAAGAAAAGTTAAATAATGTGAATTTCATTCAGTCCTTAAAAAGCGGGGGAAAGATATTGACCTAGGAACAGGATGGAGTTATGACATGTGAATCTGACAGGGACTGGGAATACTGATCCATCTATCCCTGGGCTCAGAGTGCTTTCTGCACTGAAGAGTCTTCAGCCATTTTGTGAGAATAAGAAGACTCTGAGAGAGCGTCTGTAAAAACAAAGCTATTTATAATGCATTCAGTTGAAAAACTTGAAGTTGGATTTAGGCACGTGCTTTAGCATAACATTTTTTTAAAGTTTACATTTCAGATATTAGTAATTAGAGGTTCAGACATGACCATCCTGGTTAGCAACCATGGTTTGTTAGATTAAGAATGATCCTTCCCCCCCTCCCTTTTTTTTCATACACTGAAATATTTACTGTTAAACCACCCTGACATGTTACATCTGAATCAGCAAACTGTGGTTTAGTCTCAGTTCCCAAACACTATTGGTCCGACCTGGCCAATGTCTGAGGCTTCTGATCTCTCCATAGTCATGCATGTTTTAATTACAAGCCTTCTGGACTAGGGTGATTCACTTTACACGGAGTTGTCTTTAAAAGCTGCCTAGAAACTTCAGCTGGTCCAGAAGGATGTAACAAAATGGTAGCTTGGTGTCAGTTATAGGGAGCCCTCCTTTGCTCTGGTGCTTCACTGGCCACCAGTTTGGGCACAGTGAAACCCTGTTTGTGGTGTATATGGCTTGCAGGCAGGCAACTGAAAAGAGCCCCCATCCCACCCCAACAAGTCTGTTGGGGTTTTATGATCTTTCGGGGAGACCCTTCTTTCAATGCTTCAGAGGCACTTTGGGTGGTGAATGAACAGAGGGCATTCTCAGTGGCTGGTCCCATGCTGTGAAGTCCCGACCAGAGAAACTAGGTTAGCTCACTCTTATCTTTGCTTGCCAGCTGAAGGACAGCAGTTTTATTCAAGCAGTCTTATGGTGTGTAATCTGATTTTAGGTCGGTGCTATTTTTATTCTATTGTTGTATGCATTCTGATTTTAATGTATTTGTTTTAAATAAGATTTTATTTAATGTAGTTCCTATGATTGAGAGCCAGTGTGGTATACTGGTTAAGAGCATGGCACTGGGACTCAGGTGATCTGGATTCTAGTTCCAACTCAACCATGGAGTCAACTGAGTGACTTGAGCCAGCCACAGATTCTCAGCCCATATGGCTGAGAACAACTTTATCTGCCATAGGGTTGTTGTGGGGACAAGATGGAGAGCAGGAGAAGGAGAATGATGCAAGCCATTCTGAGTTCTTTGTAAGAAAAAAAGGTGGAATATAAATCTAATAACAAATTTAAAAGGAGATTGTAAGCCACTTTGACTTCCATTTTCTTGGTAAAAAGGAGGAGTACAAACCAAACCAAACCAAACCATCAAATATTTGAAGCTTTTTGGGTTAGAAGTAACCCAAACCCAGGGTTTATTCATGGGATACCATGAATAAACCCTGAAAGGGTTTTGTTCCAGTATATAAGCAGAGAAAGAAGGAAGGGGTACAGTAGCACAACACTCATTCTTAATCTAATAAGCCATCATTTATTGAGCTGTAATTGTTACTTTTAGACCTGCCTAGTATCTGCTAGCAGTGCATACACCCTTAATGTTCAAAGAGTTTATACTCTGATAACCCAGTGTTTGTGAACCTCTTGCTATCCATCTGGCCTTTTATGCATGCAATAAATTGTATCTAGTGTTAGAGCAGAACAGAACTAACTTGATTTCAGTGGATCTTCCTTATATTTGACTAACACTGAGTACAATGCATTATATACACAGACTGTTCTTTGCAAAATCTGGCTCCTGTTTGTTTTTTTTGGGTTTTTTTAATAAAGGAAGAAAATTTGCTTTATTAGACTGAGATCATTATTCAGTGTAATTTCTCTATCTCCCTTCAATTCAATAACTCCAAGCCTTGATTCCAATTCCTGTTACTGACAGCATGTTATCATATATTTTGTGAAAAACTGTGCTTTTTATTAACTTAATTATATTCTGAATCTTTAATAATCTGCTCCAATAAGTTTATCCTCACCAAAATTCCTTAAAACTTCCATTAATTTATTGTGGTATAAATATTTTATTCTTCTTATAAAGAAAGAGGAATCTCCCCTCAAATTTCACATGCTATTCTTCCATGTCTAGTAACAATAAAGAATAATCAGTATATACTTATAATATGCATGTTATGTCCATACCCTGTCCTGTCCCTAACTCAGGCCGAGAGAAAATTATGGTGGATAGAAAATGATTTGTCACTGAAAGGCTGTTGGTAAAACCCAACAGCTTCCCATGCCCAAGACCAACACTGACCACTGGACCATAGGGAACAATTCTGTACCCAGTCAGGCTGTTGGCCACCTAGTCCAGTCCAGTCTACACTTACTGGCACCAGTCTCCAGGGTTTCAGCCATGAGCCTTCAGTCATGAGGAGTGAACCTGGGATCTTTTGCATGCAAAGCATGTGTACCACTGAGGTAGAGCTCTTATATCTCTGTTTATTTAACGAGCAGTGCCTATGATCAGAAGCCACAAGTGGGAATGAGGCCCTCCAACCCATCGACTCCATCAAGCACTCCAGTTTCGCCACTGCATCATGCATCCCCAAACTCGGCTCAGAATCCTAAGCCTGACCGGGTTTTTCCTGCTCACCTGCCTCCATCCCAACCCATCCCTGACAACAGCTTCTCTATGGACCACAGGTAAGAGCACATTATTCCCATTCCCCCGCGCCGCCGAACATGTACTTTTGATGGGTTTTGTTGTATTTGTATTTGTGACTGATTATGTCAGCATCATCCATAGTATTCTCTGTTGTTGAAAACCCTGGGACCATTTTACGTGCAGACAAGAAATGCAGCGGAAACACAGAGAAGCAAAAAGTTCTGAAGAATACACTTGTCAGCAACACAGGGGTTTATTGTAGCCTTGTTTGTTCTGTGCCACTGTCTTCCATAATTGAGGCTCTCTCGTCAGTGGCTATTTGTGTCTCTGCATGTCAAAGAAGAAGCGATAAGCAGAAGACAAGCAGGAAAATCTTTAAGGACTGTGGAAGGCTGCTTGTTTTTCAGAGATAGCACACATTATGAGTGAATGGTTGTGTCTGTATTGGTGTTAATTCTGAACTTCACTGTAATGAATATGGACAACTGGACATAACACTCTAAGCCACCACACATTAGCTGGTAGTGGGGCAGAAGGGGTTGAGTTTATGTACATAAATAACTGAATTGCTCAGAGCCTGTTTGATTAATAATGTCATATTCAATTCAGATGTATATGGTTTGCCACCATTACAAATTATTAGATATCTTGTTTGGATTCTTAATTAAATTCTTCGTAGACTTGATATATAGGCATTGTAAAAAATATTTGCATAGTATCCATTGAAAGGGTGTGGATTTTTCCCCTTTGAGCTTTGTGAAATGAAACAGCTTAGGAAAAGGAAGTTAAGCTGCCAAAACAAACTACGTTCAAATAACTTTAAGCTGAGCAAAACCACAAAAACTAAAAAAACTGAATTGAAGCTTCAGCTCCGTCCCTAAATCACCCTGCTTAGTTTCTGTATTTGAGGTCCTAAGGCAAAGCATTCACTGATTAAGCTAAATCTATTTTGCTTAAATTTTACTGTGGCTATGTTTGAATTGTGATTATAATTGTTTATGCAAGTCTGATCAAACATTTACTCATTTGGTTATGTTCTAACCTGCCCAGAACATATTCAAGGAGTCAATTCTGATGTAATATTATGTATTTCCTTACTCACCATGTAGTGCAAGCCCATGTTTTGCATCCTGCTTATGAATTTGGAGGCAAAATGGACTGTGTAGTTTTGTGATGGTTCCACTGTAGTCCTGACGTAGATATAAGAAGGACCACGCTGAAACAGTGCAAAGGTCTACTTCTGACCAAACTCAATTTTCTGCTAATTAACTTGCTTGCCTCCAGAAATGTGCATGTGGCCGCAATTTGAGTTGGGACCATGGTGATTTGGGATGGAAGATTTAAGCCCCCCCCCTCCAATTTTCATCCTCTAATTCCAGCCTCTTCACTAAGGGTGAACTAAAAATGTTAGGAGGGGAGGAATCACCGTTGGAATTGGTAACAAGTCTAGGTTGGCACGTTGTCAATTTTACGGTTCCCAGAGTGGCCAGTTTCATGCCTCTGGGAAGCTCATGAGCAATGGTATCCTCCAACTTAGGTCCCCCAATGATTGCTATTCAGAAGCATACTGCCTTTGATGTTGGATGTAATATACAGCCATTATGACTAGTTGCCTTTGACAGCCATATTACTCCATGAATTTGTCTAATCTCCTGTGAAGGCTATTCAGGTGGTTGCTCATCACACCAAGATCAGACTATCACTGTATGATTACTGTCTTTTAGGACAGGAGTTGTCCAGATGGTTTACTCCCTCCTGCTTATGTAATCCTAGATGGCAGAAATGGCTTGTTGCTTTGTGATCCCCTCTGTTATAATATTCAGTTCAAGAATGGTTACTTGTAGGTAAACCAGTGACCACGGGGTGGCTTACTCCTGAGGGCATGTGCATAATACCACAGAACCATACTGTGCAGGTCTGGCTTTGTAGAGATCTACTATTGCAACAGCTTCCCTGGTTTCCTATTGCAAGTAACATCTGCTATGAGAGGGGTGTCCAATCTCTTTTGACCCAAGGGATAAATTCAGTTTTACAGAAACACTCAGTGATCAGAAGTGGGTGCAGTCAAAAAGAAAAGAAGTAGGGCCAAAGTGCTAGCATTTTTAGTTTACATCAATTACTGCAGTAGCAAAGCCATAGAAGAGCCATTCATTTACATTATGCATTTGACTTTGCCCAAGGAACTGGTGCTCTGGATGGTAGATAATAATAAAACCCAAAAGTTAAAATAAAAACATTGTTAAAACATTAAAATATCAATAACACGATTAAAAACAGAACAACAAAGCCATTTCTAAAAGCGCTAATAGCATTTCAGTCTTTTAGAATGGGATGGGGTGAGAACAGGATGATCGGGACACAAACCAGGGAGCGATCCAATGATTGGTGGTTGGAGGAAAAGGAGCACAGTCATCTGGGGAGCTTCAAAAAGCCCACTTTGGCCCTTGGGCAAGCTGGCTTTGCTCGCTGGGCCCGAGTTCAACACTCCTGTGCTAGAGGGATCTCATATATAATTCCAGTTCCTTTGTAATTGCAGTGCTGGCAGGGGTGCGGCAAGGTCAGGGTGTGAGAGGGCAGTGATGTATGGAAGAACGGGGAACTCAAAAAAGTTAGCAAAATGTTGTGAACGGCTGGCTTAGCCTATCTCCAGCTCCAATAACACAGTTTGTAAAAAGTACAAGTATGTGGAATATAAATGGTCCTAACAAGTACCAACAGGAATCAAAGCCACTTGTATAAACACATGGCTTGATTCCATAGAAGGCTTCCAGTGCAAGTATTATTAACTTCCTTTGAGGCTTCATAAGTGAGCCTGTTTCTTATTTTAAGTTCACTCCTTGACAGTTTTTAATGATAATTTCTGCTTCTTTCCTTCACTAAAGGAAAAGGGGGTGTAGTGGGGGAATGAACACAGTGCCGGTTAACTTAGCTATTTTCAAATGCGTTAACACTTTTAAAAAATCTGAAAATGTAGGTGGACTGCAAAGGGATCGTATAATATTTTTAGCAGTGTGAAATGTATTTGCTTCTGAATTCTGTCATTTTCATTCTTTACAGTGAATGATCCCAGCATTACTTTGAATGGATCTAAACAATGATTGAACAAAAAAAAGACTAAGAATGATTTTTTTTCTGCCCAAATGTGAGAAGCACATACAAATCAGAGTGCTTTTGCACAAGGTTGGGCTGTCCCCCATTTCATAAATATTATTTTATAAATTTTGTACGCAGAGGCTACCCTGCCTCGCCTAGGCATCCCATCTTTGTAATTCTATTTAGCCATGTAAAGTGTTACAGTCCAAATAATTCTTCTTCTAGTTTATTTATTCTTCTAATTGGTTAAATACAATATCTGGACAAATGGGAATTTGGCATAGTCTAAGAATCGGTGTGGCATAATAGCTAACACTTGGCTCATGTTTAAAAGCCAACCATTGGGACTTGTTGCTCTCTTTTGCCATCTTATGGACTTGAATTCTCTTCCTCACTCCCTGCTTTAGAGAAACTATAGCTTGCCAATATGTCTGGATCCTGCAAAATTATTTGACTGAACCATGGTTTGCCTCTAGCCAGTGCTGAAAACCCACTGCAGTAAGATGTAATGGCTAATTCTAGGACCTGAAATAAGGGAAACCATCAGAGTGTTAAGGGGATGAGACCAGATGATGCAATGTGTGAGTCTGAGACACATTCTCAACAGTGGAACAGTGGCTTCTCTGTTCTGTGTCAGAGTGGTCACGTTTGAGCAGTAATATGTCTGCTTAATATGCTGAGATACGAACAAGCTCTTTGCTCATGTGGTCAACCTGTTTGCTTCTAACTGAATCATAGCTTTCCTGTTCCAGAGACCCTTCCATAAAATGCTTTTCCAAGGCAGCCCTCCTTATCAAATTCTGGCAGAGTGATACTTCTTGTCTTATCATATAAATTGGCTACTCAAAGTATCACTTTGCAGGAATTATATAACTAGACATTTCCTTCCCCAAAACTCATTCTAGCGCATCCCCCCCCCCCCCACCACCACAGGTGCTCTGAAAGTTTTCTTCCCCACCCCATGCACTTTTTGGTTCTGATCCACATTTTCCCTCCTCCCACATTATATTTTTTTACTGGTTAATATTAACATTCCTCTCTCTCTCACTCCAATGGTATTCTATGTGTTGATATTCTAGATTTCGACGTCAGCTCTCAGAACCTTGCAATTCATTTCCTCCTTTGCCTGCGATGCCAAGGGAAGGACGTCCAATGTACCAGCGACAAATGTCAGAGCCAAACATCCCTTTCCCACCTCAAGGGTTTAAGCAGGAGTACCATGATCCAGTGTACGAACACAGTGCCATGGTCAGCAATTCAGTCAATCCAAACTTCCCCCCTCCTCTGATGATCAAACAGGAACCTAGAGATTTTGCATATGATTCAGGTAGGTTGGAGGTATTCTTTCACTTCTTTTGGTCAGTAGGATTTGATTATTTAACAGAGCATAACTTCTAAATAAACCTAATAAGACCAAACTTCTTTTGTTCATGAGCGGCAGTCTAGTATATTGGTTAGAGGGTTGAATTGGGGTCTGAGAAATTAAGATTCTAGTCTCTACTTGGCCAGAGAGCTCACTGAAGATAAGGCTAAGAGGAGGAGTATGTAAAGCACCTAGGATTCATTGGAGGAAAAAGATAGGATATAAAAACAAGAAATGCATCAAATTAAAGTAAAATAAATAGCAGAGAAAACTTTTAGAGAAATCGAAATGCTACTTTGAGTTATTGTTTCAGACTGTTATGCTAGAAAGGGTTTTGAGCATGCTAGATTTCAGGTCATTAGCACTGGCAAATAAAAGAAGATAAAGTTATATTCAAAATAGGTTGTTGTCAGTGACAGATTCCTTACTGACAAAGAGGATAGCTGTCACTAATAATATAAAGCCGTCATTATCAACCTACTGTTAACCTACAAGTAGTGGTTAGGTTATCTATGGACCACTGAACCTGTGATTAATATACAGTGTCTGTGTTTGGGTTAATTAAGCCACAGGTTACTGATGTTAAGCATGAACAGTTCCAAAGAGACATACAAGCAAAAAATGGTGTGGTTCTGATGTCTGTGTAATCTCTTGTAATACAATTAAAATGTTAAATGCTGATGATAATGATAAGGCTGTTCTCCAAATGCCTGTGGTAAATTATATATAAAGTATATGAGAGTTCTGTTTGGGGGATTAAGTCTTTTATGATCTATGCATGTAGAATCAGGTTTTTTTTTCCTGCAGATCCTTAAATTTGTTCACACTGGAATGTGTTAGTAGTAGTCACAGTAGTATTGTTTGGATCTTTAAAGTTGTGCAAATTGAGCAAAGCAGTGGGACTACCAAGTGTAGGATTAAATTGACATGTTTTTCCAGAAGTGCCAGGTACCAAATAAGTAGCTGTGGCAAGGATTAATTTTATTTTCCACAGGAAAACATAGCAGACTGGTGATTTGCAAAAGACCACACACGCACGCGCACACACACATTTGGTTTTTGTTTGAAAACCACCTCCAGAAAATGCCACAATCCATGATGGCCAAAGCTCAAGTCATGAAAAGTAAAGAAGAAAAAAATACACTCATTTGTGCAAATGGAAAGACCCAAAAATAGTTTTAGAAGGGTGTACAGATCACATGTGTGAGCTTAAGTGGGCTCCGGGGGATGGTGGAGGACAGGAAGGTCTGGAGAAATTTTGCCCATGGGGTCGCAATGGGTCAGATGCGACTTCGCAACTAACAACAACAACAGATCACATGACCTGAAAAATATGCATCTATTTATGATGAACAAAAATAGGAACATTTCCAGAATCAGAAATCCACAATGTTTCTTTGCCACCATTGAAACAAATGGAAAAATGGCACAATCCAACTGACTTTAAACAGAACGAAATTCCCAGTGTTGCTCATTTTATGTCAACAAAGGAGGGGGCTTTCTTAATTGCAGTGCCCCATCTTACAATGTTATCCTCATGGAGATGTGACTAATGCCAATTCAGTAAGTTTACCCAGACCCTTTAACTTTTGATTTTCCCTGTTTTATTTTCAGCAACTTCTGTTTATTATTTATTGATTGATTTCTACACCATCCATAGCTGAAGCTGTCTGGGTTGCATACAACAAAAACATTTTAATGCTGATTATGTCTTTTTAGTGTGTTATTCTATTGTGCATTATTTTAATTGTACTTGTAAATTTCTGTGGTATCCATGAGGATGAAGGGCTAGTTTAAAGCCTCTTAATCAATGTTAACTTGGTATGCTGTGTCTATCCTGAATTCCACTTGATTACCAGCTGCTTGAGTGCTGAAATTGAGTGCTGAAAACTGCAACAATTCAGTTCCTGCAAAAGAGAACTGGATGTTAAGCTTATTGTCCTTCTTGATGGTTACACCTCTCTTTACCCCCATCCTCTTTTAGGTCCAGGATTGAAACTTTTTCATTCATTAGGAATACAGACCAGGTTTTAGATTGTGACTTCCATCGTTATTAGCTGGGTTGACTAGACTTTTTGGGAATTATAGTCCAAAACATCTGAAGGAACACTCCAATGTGGAAGACCTAAAAAAACCCCTCATGTTCTGTCTTTACCCCCTAAATATTTCTATAACACTGCAATATTCCATAAACACTTGGGGTTATCCAGGGATGTTGGATGTCTGTTAGGCCATTCAGGAGAATTGAGGTTGGATCTGCTTGATAGCCTTCTAAGGCAGTTTATGACCTGCAAGACAGCTTTCAGTTAGTGCTCTTCTTTTCATTTTAATAAACATCTGTTACATTACAGTGTTTGACTGCTATATATTTGACCCCCACAGGAAAAAAGTATGGATCCATTTCCTTATTCAGAGTAAGGAAGAGGCCTCATGTTATGGATTAAACTCTGATTGCTTTGTATGGTTATAAAATAATTAACCCAATCTTGGGAGTTGTTCTGAAGGTTCCAGCTGATACTTCTTAAGTACATACCTCCCAAAATTAGTAGGCTCCCTGCACCCCGGTAGAGGATGACTATATCTGCAAAAACCAGTTTCTTCTTCTAAAGTGGCTCAAAATCTGGGAACCATTTCATTTGAGCATAGCAGATGTTACCACTAACACAAAGAAATAAAAGAACTACAGTCTCACACGCTGTCTTATGATCTTTACAAGCGCACTTATTCAGGCGACTAAATTTAAATGGTAACAAGGCTCTTTTGTCAGCATAGTTTTATGTTTTGGCAAGAAGGAGCAATTTTTCACACTCTTTATTTGAACTGGGGCTGTTTCCTCTTCTCTTTCATTTATTCATGAGATTTCATTTCTCCTTACCTTCTGCAAAGATGCTCATCATATATGGACTTCTGTTTCTCATTACTGATATGGAAACTTTTCTTTTTGTTCAAGAACGGTGGTTGACTCTCATACCTACAAAGTATATCTGATTATCAGAAATAGTTTTGCCAAACATGAGTTGTTTTATGTGGTTCTTCTGCTCCTCCCCTATCTTCTTCTCAGAAATTCCTTGATTATTATTCTATTATTTAAAAACAACAACAACAAATGTTTCTCCAAGGAAGTCAGAATGGTGAACAAGGTTCTTCAGTCTCCATTTCATACGCACAACCACCTTATGAGATAGGGTAGGCAGTGAGAAAGAGTGCTACATGGATGAGTGGGGTTTCGAACCTGGATCTCCAGCCCTAGTTTGATACTCTGTTTGGTTTTCCATGCTTGCTATCTCTGTGCATATGAGGTCTCACAGATGACATTCAGACCATGTTTTCCAAAGGAAATAATCTCTTTTCCAATGTGACAAAAAGATCTAGGTCACACTCTCCCCTGGTGAAAGCTCAGCCACCCATGCATCAAAGTATCCCTGTGGGGCCCATTGAAGAAGGCCTTTTATCTTTGGCATTTGCATGTCACATTATAGCATATCAGCCATTGTTTAGAATGATAACCTGGATTGTGTGTGGGTGCAAGCTTGTATTTTCACATATGAACATACTGAAGTCTTAAGATCTTGTGGTGAAGCACTTTTCTTGGTCCCACCACAATTGGAAGTATGTTGGTGGGGATGTGAGAGAAGGTCTTTGCTATGGCCATTCTCAGCAAAAAAGATTAGACTGGCTGATAAGAACCTTGCTGGGTCAGAACAGCAGTTTGTCTAGTGCAGCATTCTGTTCAAACCGTGGACAACCAGATGCCCAGAGTATCCCCAAACAGAATACGAGTGCAACAGCACTCTCCGGTCATGTTCCCCAGAGCTGGCTCCCTTTTGGTTGTCTTTTGCTGGCACACAAATGCATGAGTATATGGGCAGGCTTTTGTTGTGTAAGTTAGTTTGTTAATAAAGGGACATCTAGCTGATTGGATGCTGTTTATTTCTTCTTGCTTGCTTGCTTTTGATTGTGTTATGTTTTAATCACAATTCTGTTTTTTATCTGTGTTTTATTACTATGATCTGCCTTGAGTCCCATTTTTGGCAGAAAGACAGAATATAAAGTTAATAATAAATAAAATGTTGTGTGTGTTATATATTTCCCATGCAGTCTTTCCTCTGTAATCCATGGCTTGATCCCAAGTTAACTGCAAGCTTTGATTTAAGTAAATAATTTGGTTGGCAGACATTTGGCTGTGCTGGCTTCCCTTTCTATTATAGTTGCTTGGAGGAAGCAGATGGATGGAACGTAAGAGGAGCCACAGAGGATGAGACCAAGAGTCCATCTATTCACACACAGGCCAGGCTATCCCTGGGGTAGCACTCTCCTGCCCATGTTCCCCAGTTACTGGTGTATGTAGGTATAGATTACATTGCATTTCTGCCCTACCTTTCTTACTCTTAAGGGAAACCAAAGTTGCTTACAAAGTTCTCTGTCTTTCCATTCAACCTCACAACAGCCCTATGAGTTAGGTCAGGCTGAGAGTCCATGACTGGTCTGTGAGCTTCATGACTTGAGTGAGGACTTGAACCCAGGGCTCTTGATTCCCAGTCCAGCGCTCTCACACTGGGTTGGGAACTTTGATTTTTCCATGTGCTTTCATGGAGGCATACAGCCTTTAGTCTTGTTTTACTTCTTGGTGGATGGCCCTCATACCAATAAATTTTGTTTTTGGTTCCTTTCATTTTTGTACATCTGCAGAAGTTGGTCTCTTTGCTCTTGCAGGAGGAGAATTAGTTCTAAAAATGAACTAGCAGCATAACCAGGAGCCATGAAAAATTGATTTGTGGCCTCAGGAGTACTTTTTATTGGCTTCAAAATCACCACATTTAAGTTGACACATCTGTATACAACATAAATTGTAGTCAACAACTATGGTCTGATGATATTTTGTCTTGTTGCCATCTGTTCTCCAGAAACCACCATTTTCCCTGTCCTTGCTCTAATAGAACTTTAAATGGCCCTTTTGGAGACAT